TCATGGCCCCAGCGCCCCGGGGCCCTACCCCCATGGTCCCATGGTTCAGCCTTCTACCATAGGCCCCAAGCTGAGTTTGAAGGGCTCCAGTGCCATTTTCCTCCACTCCCCCCGCCCTCTCTGCCCACTCCGACTGCTACCCATGGCCCTCTGGCCCCATGGCTTCATGGCCCCAGCGGCCCCAGGCCCTAAGCTGAGTTTTAAGGGCTCCAGCGCATGCCCCGCTTCCTCCACTTTCCGGGACCGCTCCCCATGGCCCTCTGGCCCACGGCTAGGGCTCACCCATGGTTCAGCCTTCGGCCCCAGCGGCCCAGGGCCTACCCCCAGGTCCAGCCCCGGCCTTCACCATGCCCAAGCTGAGTTTTAGGGCTCACCCCCATTCTAACATGGCCCAGCCTTCTGCCATGGACCCTAAGTTGCTCCACCCCGCCCGCCCCAGCGCCCCTTCAGGGCCCTACCCCCATGGTCCCATGGCCCAGCCTTCTACCATAGGCCCTAAGCTGAGTTTAAAGGGGTCCAGTGCATGCTCCAAGGGCATGCCCGTTTCCTCCACTCCCCCCGCCCTCTCCGCCCACTCCCACTGCTCCCCATGGCCCTCTGGCCCCAGCGGCCCTAGGCCCTAAGCTGAGTTTTAAGGGCTCCAGCGCATTCCCGCTTCCTCCACTCCCCCCCCCATGGCTACTCCCATGGTCTTCTGCCATAGGCCCTAAAGTTGTTCATGGCCCCAGCGCCCCAGGGCCCTACCCCCAGGGTCCCATGGCCCCAGCCTTCTACCATAGGCCCTAAGCTGAATTTTCAGGGCTCCAGTGCATGCCCGCTTCCTCCACTCCCCCCGCCCTCTCCGCCCTCTCCCACCCCATGGCTTCATGGCCCCAGCGGCCCAGGGCCCTACCCCCATGGTCCCATGGTCCAGCCTTCTACCATTGAACTGAGTTTTAAGGGCTCCAGTGCATGCCAGCTTCCTCCACTCCCCCCGACCGCTCCGCATGGCCCTCTGCCCCATGGCTTCATGGCCCCAGCGGCCCAGGGCCTTCCCCTATGGTGCCAAGGGCTCCAGTGCATGCCCGCTTCCTCCACTCCCCCCGCCCTCTCCGCCCACTCCGACCGCTCCCCATCATGGCCCTGGCCCCATGCTTCATGGTTTCAGCGGCCCTAGGTAAGCTGAGTTTTAAGCCGGGACCGCTCCCCCCCACAATCCCCCACCCCACCCGCCCATATGCCCCCCCCTCCACCTGCCTTCCGCCCCCCCACCCACACACCCCCCACCCCCCCACCCCACCCCCCCACCCCCCACCCCCCCTCCTGTCGGGGTTGAGCCGGACAGAGCGTGCTTCAATTCTTAGGATGGGGTCGGCGGCATTGGCGGTAGCCATTAAATAAAGAGCACTTCGAAGAGTCTGCGTAACTGAGTCCCAACGGACGCAATGCACCTGCTCCAGCTCAACCTGCCGCTGCTCCGCTGCAAGGCGGCTCTCCTGAGCTCTTCGCCAGAACCACTTCCAAAGAGGGGTCTTAGGGCTTAGGGTTTGGGATTTGGGGTTTAGGGTTTAGGGTTTTGGGCTGACAGACTGAGCGAACCCAGTAGGAACTTTCACTCCCAGCTCCTCCTCCTCCCGAGCCTCTCGCCAGGCCTGCACCTCAGACTCGTCGACACTTGTCAAAAAGTTTTAGCAGAGTCCACGTTTCTCTCTCTCTCTCCCTCTTTCCCTCTCTTGTCCCCTTCAGGTGTAGTCTTTCAACGCGCGAGGGAAGTCAAATAAAGACTCTCACACCTGCCGTGCCCCGGACTCGCCGGCGCTGCTCCTCGCGGCTCCGTCCACGCGGTTCCTGGGTCCGACAGCCAAGACGAGTCAAGATCTGAAAATAGAGCAGTTGTTCCATGTTGTTCCTACACGCATGTACAGTAGGGGTCCGAACGCGGACTGGTGCCTCGCAGTGGTTCTGGCTGGCCTCAGCTTGCTCGCGCTTCAAGCATGCAAGTGAACTGCAGGGCAGGGGCTCTCAAGTGAAGGTGATGGTCCAGCTGCCATGATGATTCTGTGACAAGATGATGTGTCACAAGCCTTTTTCCCATGCTGCCGGGAAGCTTGGTTTTGTAGCATGGACCGTCGCTCCCGCCATCGCACCAAGAGCAAACGCCTTCTGGCCTGCCGCAGCATCTCACACACACACACACACACACACGTCCAACACTGCTCATAGCAGTGTCCCTGCACCGTCCCGACACGAACTTCACCTGTTGAGGGCTGCGCCTGCCGTGCCTGGTGGTCACTGTACCATCGCACATGATCTGCCAGAGCAGCCTCAAGCCAAGGCAGGATTCCGACAGTCATCAACCGCAAAAACGTGTAGCAGTAAAGGGGCGATGGGCGCACCTCTGGCAGATCTGGAAAGTGGTATGCCAAACGAGCGTAGCATTGTGGAGTCGCCTGGGCAAGCTGGACAAACCAGTCAGCGCACAAGAGCCAGGGTCCTCACTACGTAGACGATGTCATGTCCCTACCAGGGTGGAAGATCTGCCTGATCTGCCAGATGGTCTTTGCTCATTGCCATGGCTTTAAGTCACTGTGATGATTATGACGCTGATGATAGTGGTGATGATGGTGATGATAATGATGATGATGATGTTGATGATGTTGATGATGTTGATGATGACGATGATGATGATAGTGGTGATGATAATGATTGAGAATGCAAATTTGCTTGCGGCTGCGACTGCTACAGCTACAGTGATTTTTGATGATGAGGATGCTGGTGACGAAGACGACGACGACGACGACGACGAAAATGACCATGACGATGACGATGACGATCATGCCGAGGATAGGAGCCAGTCTGAAGATCTGCTTAAGGCTTAAACTTGTAGCAGCTATCTCCTCTCCCGCCACCCACCCCCTGATGACGGGGGTGAATGAACAGACTCCTCTCAGCGAAAACTACTCGAAGTTGGTGGAGCCTGCATCCGGAAGATTCGAAGGATCCGCACGAATACCTGGCATCCGTGAGCTTGGGGCAGCATAAGATCTGCTACAGGGTTGGCTGCTTGGCTCAGAGAAACCAGAGGTAAAAAAGAAAGAGAGACAGAGTGAAAGACACACAGAAAAATTGAAAAAGAGACAGAGAGAGAGAGAGAGAGAGAGAGAGAGAGGAGAGAGAGTGCTGGGCATGAAAAGAAAGGGAAGCAGTGAAGCTGTGCTCAGAGCCAAGGAATGAGTGTCTTAGGCCTCATGGTCAGCCGCAACCCAGCCACCACAGGAAGCTTCCTGCGCCTTGCAAAAAAACTTCTCAAATGTTATGGGATCGGTTTCCGCAAAAAGAAACAATAGGACCTACAGACGCTCAGCCGCTGCACTCTAGACCTGCACATTCCGAGACACTTTCTTGCCTCGGCTTCTTCGAGTGTCTTGAGCTCCGCCTTAAGCAGCTGCAGCTCGGCATCTTCCTCGATTCAAAAACGCCGTCACTACGTCACTGCAGATCCTGTTGGGTTGTTGTACTGATTACTACCAGTATGGTACCGCTAGTGGCCATTTCTGCTTCCGAAAAACTGAGGACTTTGGACCTTCCGGACGTGAAAGATCAGTTGTACAACGCAGTATAGCGATTGGACTGCTTCCAGCTTCGTGTGAATGCGCGCGTGTGTCTTTCTGGTTTGGCAGCCTAGACAGAACCCACAAACCAAAGCATGACAAAGGATGACGAAGGAGCACGAAGCAGCTTCTGAACATGGTACTCAAGAAATTTGACATCTGTGCTATTGAGCATAGCTCCTGGAGCAGCGTCTTGCGAGCAGCAGCGCCTGACAAAGTTCCAGGCGAATTAGGTTGAGTTTGATTAAGGGTTGAAGGGGCTGCCTTGCTTGGCAAGAATCTCTGATCGAGGCACGGTTCATGGGTCCCCGACACATGTTGCTAGTCGCAGACTTGAGGCTTGCTTGAACTTGCCCCGATGTCAACAACCGAATACAAGCCCACAAGCGAGACCGCACGGTCTCTGGGACCATCAAAAACAACTTGGTTGGCTTGGTCGCTTGTGGTCGCTTGTGGCAAATTTCGAGAATCCGAAGCTGCATCGGCCTTGAAGATCATCAGAAGACTTGGAACGCTCCTGCTTGGCAAACAGGAATCATAGAACTGAGCATAATGTACACGCCGAAGCTTTCCTCTGCTACTAGGTTTGCTCCGAGCAGTTTGACATAACCACGACTTCCGCAGATGACTGGCACCCGGTACCCGGTAGCCCTTCCAAACATAGCGGTGACCAACAAATCCAGGGGTTACAGTCTGATGCACGCCATCGCTCTCCTTGGCGGATCCTGCGGTCCTTGCGCGTAGCATGCACTGAATCCAACTTTATGGACGAGGGACTAGAAGAAAAGCTGGTGCAGGTCTCTGAGAAGGATGTTGGGGATTCCTGAGTATTCTAAGACTCTAAGACTCTACAAGCGAATAGAGTAAGCATACTAAACATGCCACATTCAGTTTACATGCGGAGTCAACAAGCTGTTTGGGGAGCCTTGAGGCCACCCCTCGACAGCAAAAGCTACGAGATGTCCGCGGGCTGTAGGGAAGGTGCAAGGGTCGGGAGATATGAGATTTTGTGAGACCCTCCTCAAGATGGGTCAAGGTTAGTGCTCTCTCGAGATGCTGGTGCATGTTGCACGACCATCGTCCTGTTGCTTCTGTACAATCTCCACGTGTTCTTGAGCTGACTTGCAGTGTGATTCGCGTAGATCTAACAGGGAAGTTGGCCGAAGTGCATCCGTTTGGAGCCGTATGCTGACATGGCCACCAACTTTCCACCCCTGCAGAGCATGATCCCCAGAAAACAATGCAGGTCCGACCCCTGTTATTGCCTGAATCAACAACAGCAGGGCATAGCAAGGCTTGTGAAAAATTAGCGCCCACTCCGGCCACCCCGGCTCCCTCAAATGCTTGCGAAGAAAACCCACAGCCCTCGAGGCCCTCGAGGGCTGTCGCCTATACAGTGTAGTTGTAGGCCTACCGCATCCAATAGCACATAATCGCACCAAGTCCTCTGCTGCGACGGTGTGGAGGGCAGCCCTCCTGGTGCGCCCAGATGTTTTTTTCAAAGGCCAACGCGCTTTGGGTCATCCGTTCAGGTCCTACCCAACGGTCGAAGCGCTTTTCCAAGGAGGCCAGCGTATCCTCGAGTAGGACGGAAAACTCAGCAAACGTCACTCGGGACACTCCATGCTCGACACGCTCCTCGAGAAGCCGCTGCTCAGCCAGGAGGCCCTCGAAATCCCCACTGTGCTGGGCCTCATCCCAGAACGAAGCCATGAGGGTCAGGAGTCATGTGGGAGACTGCGAGGCATGCGTGAATCGTGGCATGTTGCAGCGCTCACAAAGTCTCCTCCTTTCCTCAGAGCATTAGCATTCCATCTTCCATGGGCCTTGCCTTGAACGCACGCAGGGACCGCCCGACGTCCTCGGACAGGCCGCACAACATCAACACATGCTTGTGGGACCAGTGCGGATTCTCACAGTCTCCTGCGCCGTCGAGGAGGGCTCAGATGGCAGGCGCTTCACCTCAAGCTGCTCAAGCTCCGACTACCGGTATTTCGCAGGTGCCTCTCAGAAGCGACGGCTTGATTCAACTTGGTTCCTGACACTGGCACGCAGCTCGGCGAGGCTAGCCCAGAGATTGTTGGCCCAACTTAGACAAGAAAAGGTGCACAACGCATTTGCTTTTTTTTTCGTCAATGCTGCATATTGTACAGCAATCGGACACTGCGTGCTGGTTCAGCCCATCATGGCTTACCTGGGAATGGATCAGTGTCCCTGCCGGGGCACTCCTCCAAAGCCTCTTCGGAGTCATGGCAGGCAAGCCTCTTGCAAGAGGCGCAGAGGCACTCTTTGCTATCGGCCATGGGATCTTAAGTGGTCGAAAGTCTTGCATTGTGGGGCAGAGCCTCTCGCCACCGTCCTCCAGCTCTCGAGCCTCCCGGGGGGACAAACCGTGACTGAGGGCTCCAGGCTTGTGCAAGTAAGGCATCCACAGCCGGGTGTGATTTAGCTCTTCTTGAGCAAAGTCCAATCTCTCACCAGTTCCCCTTTAGCGATGTCAAGCGAACTCGAAGAGTGTCCCCCAACCCATCATTCTTACTGTGGGTCCAGGCACGTCACGCTTCCCCTAGTAAGTAGTATGCAGGATGGCTCAAGAAACAGGCATTTGTCCTTGGAGGTCAAGCTTTTCCTAGAGCTCAGGCACGGCTTTTAGGGGCTTAGAGCAGTTTTGGGTTTAGGAGTTTAGGGTTTGAGGTTCAGGCTTTGATAATTAGGTGGAAAGCTCGTGCGCCAATGGGGAGCAAGCTCAGAAGGATGCCCCCCCCTCGTCCCTTAACCACTTCTTGCACTGAAGTGGAAAGCGTTAATGCTGCAATACAGTGCTGTACTTCGAACCCACCCTCCACAAGTGCATTCTGCGGGGGTCTAAATGTTACAGCTGAGAGGCGGAAGGACAGGAAAAAGAGGTAATTGAAGGAAAAAACTTAATGACAAGAATGGCAAGACCCGGAAAGAAGGAAGGAACACAAAAGGAAGATGCGCGCGGCGACGAGCTTAAGGACGCCATGGAATCTGAAACTCGACCTGCCATGACCTGCCTCTTCCTTCAGCGAAGTCCATACCGATTGCCAGGATGATTCCTGTTGGACAATTCGTTGGACATTCTGGCGTCAGGATCACAGAAAAGTCATGGCAGCTCCGGTGGCAGCTATGTCGCGCTTAGGCCGCGCAGAACCACTGGATTCACATGATCAACAAGCCATTCCTGCAATCCATTCATCGCGCCTCACATGCTGCTTCTGGAGGGGCTTCCCGTGGACCTTCGAGAGTTTGTTGCTTGTTACGGGCCCTCTACGACCTGCAAGCATGACAAGAGCACGTGGCCCACAGGGCATTCTGAGACTGAGACTGGGCAGCTCAGCTTCAGGCTCCTGTGGAATAAGAACGGGGAACGAGCAAGCACGCTGCCTTCGGCTCACAAGTCAGGACATCACTGATCCAAGCGATCGGGGGCTCCTCCATGAGGTCAATAGCAGCTCCGCATTAAGGCATTCCGTCAGCTCTTGAACATTGTGTCGGATTTTGCATTGCTGCGTGGCTTGCTGCTTGAGTAAGTTGAGTGTGGGATGTAAACATGATCAGCGAAGTACATCACATTCTGAGCTCTCAAAGCTTCAAAAAGTAACAAGAGGCGACAAGTCTAGTTGTGTCAATACCCAAGGTATCTTCATTACCGCCGACCCAACTGCAAGCGCAGTCAGCTGGCAAGATGTCGCCACCATGCAGAAAAGCATGCCAGGGAACTACTTAACTTCCTGAAGAACCGAAGTAGTGTCGAACTTGTGGTGTCGTTCCCGCGGCATTTTCTTCTCCAGTCCAGCTTTCAAAGCTTCGTCCGACACTTGGGCATTCCTCCCTTCAAAGAGGCCGGCTGCAACGTGATGGTGCGCATTCGACATCGGGTATACGGTGGACAAGTTCTGCGAGGCCCACCTGTGCATGTTCTGCAAGCGTGGCCGACATGAATGCGCCTGCAAGCTGACCATCCCCCTAGGCCAACTTGAAGACCAAAGCGGACCAGCCGTCCTCTTCGGGACGTTCATCTGCAGGAGCGGACGAGGGAAGCCCTTCATCTGCAGGGGCACGTCGTCTGCAGCCCCCCACTTGCGGCCCATGCCGAGCACTTCCGAGCACCTCACGCTTCTGTGAGTCAGACAGGCAGAACCTGGCCGAGACTTGTAACTTGTCAGGCTGGCTAACCAGTATCCAGGCAGAGGCTTGTCAGGCTGGCTAGCCTGTCAGACACGCCGAGATTTGTAACCAGAAAGAGACTTGTAACTTGTCTGGCAGATTTGTAAAGATTTGTAACCAGGCAAACCGGCAGAGACGAGGGCTTTGTATGGGGCCTGCACGGTGTCGTAAGAGTATCTGACGAAACAATTGCCTTGTGGCCACCAGGAAGTCAAGCCCCCGTGCAATGTTTGAGCGAACGTGTCAAAACCCCCCCCCCAGATACGTATACACAAGTTGAGGCTTTGACAGCTCACCAACATTTGGCTTTGTTGGCTTGTCTCCAACGGCTCCAGCGCAAGCGCACATAAGCATCGCGGCAACGGAAGAAGCCCGTGTAGATACACAAAACCGTGAGCAAGCCAACCCAGGCAGCGGCCAAAACAACGAAGGTTGGACCTGGCTTGTTCCAGTCGATGATGTCATAGAGGGGGCACTTGTCATCTGGGTAATTTGCGCAGGGCCTCCCGTTGCCAATCTCCAAACGGTGATGGAGGATGGTCCACACAAAATAAACGACAGAATAAATCACAGCCCAAGAAGAATTTCTCACAGACCTCGGCACTCTCGAGCTCGACAGTCCGAACAAAACACAGAACAAAGCAAACAAATCTGTGGACCAACAATCAGCTTCAATCCGTTTCAGTCAGCATCGATCAGGCTGTCAGCTTCAATCAGTTTCAATTTGTTTCAGTCTGTTTCAATTAGCTTCAATCAGCTTCAAGTTCCAATCAGCTTCAATGAGGACCCAACATGATGCAACAGCTGAACGAACATGTGCTTTGACAATGAATTACAGCAACCGTTCAAAGATTCTAGTGACTGGAGTGATGGGGGTCGCTGATGCTGCCCCGGTACCATGGCAAGTTGGACATGAACAAACTCAGAAGGAGCACCAGCCAGTTAAAGAGGTGGGCCCAGTAGTCATAGTGCGTCGCAGGAAGCGGACGCCAGAATCGGTTCACAGTGGTCCAGTACAGAATCATCACAATCATCGAAATGGGCTGACAAATGTACCACAAGGCCAGAGTAAACCTCACAAAAAAAGGGACATTTGCCTTAGCAGCTGCAGCATCAGCACCTGCATTTTGTGGCTCACGCGTCTCAAGCAGAGTGTAACCCCAAAGAGTTGAGATGAAGAGCAGGACCAAAGTGGTGGTCTGAAGGAGTAGAGACCAGGCAGTAAGGTACACCAAGTAGAAACCACCAATGTGCGGTATAAAGTTCACCATGTCCAGGATCTGCATCACCACAAAGAGACCTGCAACAAGGCCCACAAAAATCACGTAAGCCAACGGCGGCAGGCATGGCGAGGTGGACACATCTGTTGGCCACGCGACATCTATTTGAAAGAGGGCAATTATTTTCATTGTCCCCGCAGCATTTGTCGCGGCTGTAGGCAACCTTGGGCCAAATCTGCTTCGGCTGAAAGGCAACTCATTCTTGTTCTAACAGGGTCAATTGCAGTTTGCCGTCACAGGCTGTCACCAGCATGGCCGACAGCCAGTCTGAGAACAGCATATGAAGTAGGGTTTATATTTCTTGTGGCCCCAAATTTCAAAAGGACACCCAATATATACACTCACCAACGTTGAAAAGGAACCTTCTATACACTCACCAAGATAAACCCTGCTTCATATGGCGCCCCAGTGGTGCCCCTGTAACCACTCGCCCAAACGAGCACTGCCACTCTGACCCTGAAGCAGCTTAAAGCCTGTCAGAACTAGCCGTTTGTCCTGGCACAACCGAGCCCATGTCACAGGATGTCAGGCATGGATGGAAATTGTGCGACAAAATCCGTGACCGCCAAATGGTAATCCAATGGGATTCGAAACAAGCGATGCATCCTGCTTCATCACGTCACTCAAGAGAACAAGCCGCAGATCTGCACGCCGAGCGCATCCGAACGCATCACCCAAAGAGGGCCTCGACGGCGCGAACAAGACAAACGGCCATCACCTCCCTTGCCGCCGAGTTTTCCCCGAAATGGCAACGCACCGCATGGCATGTGCCGCACCTACATAAAGAGCAACAGCTTAGGCGGTGAATCCCGAACTCAAAGCTGCCCTAAATCCTAAACCCTAAGCCCTGGACAGATTTAAACAATAAAATGAGTATGGCCGTCAAGGCCGCCTTGTCCCTAAACCACGATATTTACGAAATAAACACAAACAAAAACAAAACTGACTGAAGCCACTTCGGGCATCATCACCCTGAACTCTAAGAGTTTGCTGACACTCCTGCTTGCATCATCTGAAGGGGTTGGGACAAGTTCGGGGGTGGGCACCCTGGACCCTAAAGCCTGAACTTTACAACCTAAACCCACAACCATATTCACAAGAGGGTGGTGGGGAGGAAATATCGGATCTTTTCAACCAACGCGCACCCCCTAAACCTAAACCTGAAAACCTAAACCCAACCCCTAAACCCGAAACCCTACATTCTAAACTCTAAACCCTAAACCGCAAAGTTTCCTCAGATCTCTCTTTCGCGCATCCGGAGAACTGCCAGCTCAGAAAAATCTATAGTCAAAAACGCCAGCTTTACGCTTGCGCTGTGGGGGCGTTCCCAGCTGAAGCAGGCAGTTCATCAAAAAGCAAGACAGATCTGGATGCTGAGTTGCGATTTGAGTCAGCTCCTCCTTGTGTATCTTCAAGACCCTGCATTCATGAGCTTCTACCATTTGCTGACAGTTCTTCTCTAGCAGGCTGCCACTTCCATGCACCTGCTTCATGAACATGAGGACGTTGCTCTCAGAGAGCAAAGTCTCCAACTCCGCATCTGCCTGTTCGACAAGGCCCTGCAGCCGACATCGATCTGCAAAGCGCCGAACAGAGAATGCGAACTCCACATCACCCTCAGCGCAGAATGTGTTCATGAGCAAGAACAACAGCACTGCCCGTATCGTGGCAGTTGTTGCTTGAGGATCATTGGTCAGATCGATCTCGTTGCGAAGTCCCTCTTTCCATTGCGCACCAGTCAGCATCGTCTTGAAGTACTCCGACCGGGCCACGAGAATTCGTTTGTCGAAATACTGCGGTGGTCCATCAGCCAATAGAATCTTACAGAGGGCGGACTCTTCACTGAAATCAAGAGCGTGGAAAAGGGCAGGAGGCGCATCTTCGGAAAGTGCGAGCAGCGGAAAATCGACAGAAGCATGTACCGTAAATTCTCTCTCGTCAAGCCAGTCTGCGGGGCAAACGTGGAACCACCCTCTCGCACAGCTGCGGAACCTATCCCCATTGAAGTTGAAGCTGGCAGACCGGTCCCGGGACCAGCCTTCGGCAAGCAGTGTCGCCTGGGTCATCTGAGTGCTTCTCAATACGTTTAGGTTTAGTGGGCCCTTTAGGGGCCTTGGGGGGGGGGGGTACCATATATATATATATATATATATCTATATATATATATATATACATACATATACATATTCGAGGGATATATTATGGGGATTGTAAGGGTCGCTTTTTCCAGGCTTTAGTTTAGGGATTATTTTGAGAAACTACCATACAAAGTGGATATGAGAACTTCCGGGGGTTGATGTTGTCCAGGACTTAGGGATTAGGTACCTTGCATATGGGGTTGGTACGCCATCATATCTTGAAAGCATTCAGAAACAGTCTAGGTCACCGTACAATGCACATCATTGACGGCCCAATGGTCTTGATGATCTGTGGTCATCTCAATGTAAATTCGAACATTGCCGGCATACTTACTCACATGAAGCCTCCAGGCCAATGAGTTTGGAGGCCCAATCTCACAAGAAGCCAAAGTTGAATTGGGCTCGCCGTCGCCTGGAAGTTCCGATCTCTTGAAAACCATTTCCGTGTGCTCCCGGCGCCTGCTGCGGCGCGGCGGTCCCACGAATGCCTTGCCGCGGATATGAAGCTTATCGATAGAGATGTCAAGGTCCTTGCCGCCGCAGCAGTAATGATTGAAGTCCACGACATCACCGAATCCTGCTGAAGGCGACGTGTCCGTGAAATCGAAAGTGCTGGACCGGACTGCAAGCTCTTGTCCTTTTTCGGTCGAGATGTTCAGCTGGAAGCACACATTCCTACAGGACCATCGGCTGCCTTGGAGCTGCTCTGGAGGAAGCATTTCCATATACACACACAAGCGACAGTCATCGTCGTAGCAATCCCAGCATGTCTCTCCCGCGGGATACACCATCAACCGCATGCGAAACGAATCTGTCTGGTGGCTGCTCTCCGTGGCGACACAATCGCAAAGGTCATACTTGTGAACAAAATCGGCGATGGTTGTCTCTATCTCGTCGTGCCATCCTTCTGATCAGGCTGTACCCTAAACAAAAGCCCTAAACCCTAAACCCGTGAAGACACATGGAACAAGGACTAGGTCTTACGGTTGAAGGTGTAGAGTTTCGGATGGCCCTAAACCGTGTATTCCTAACCTGAAAAAAGCCTAAGCTGGCAAACCCCGATGTCTCATCTCCCACTCCAGGAGTCCTGGGGGCAAGGAGTCTGCAATCTGCTCCGAGCCCATCGCACCTCCTGGCTTGCCCTTTCGAAGACTTAGCCAAACCGATGTAATATTTCTACTACTCGTACTAATCACAAGTCTTACAAGGCTTATAATGCCATTACAGCAACATTAACACGGAACAACTGTAGCCATCGTCCTGGTAAAAACCGCCAGTAGTACTGTTCGAACAACACTACTCTGCACAATCATACTATCCCAAACATTGAACCGTGAACGCTAACCTGAAACCCTAAACCCTGAAACCCTGAACCCTAAGAACTAAAACTTGAAACCCTAAACCCAAAAGCATGACCTGAGCAGGAATGGCTGCTTCAGCAGATGCACTCGACTCGCGGACGACAAACCGGCGAACTTTCCAAGTCCAAGGTTTTAGGGTTTTAGGGCCTACGGCTTGGATGTGAGAATTTAGGGCTTAGGGTTTCGGGCCCCAGAGCATTGCGGTTTTCTGATTTTAGGGTTTTGGGGTTTGGCGCTTCAGGCTCGTGGCTTTAGGAAGCAGCATAACGCCGCATGTCAAACAGCATACTTGCTGGAACAAAGGACCTGATGTCTATCTCTTTTCCGACCTGTCATCCTCAAATCTAACCAAAATGTTCATTCGTTTTGTCTTTTCGTGCTCCTGCCGACATCATTTTAGAAGACTCGCGATGGACACGGTGATAATTATCAAAATCTTCTACACCTACATCTTGCAGATCCCCCCAAAGCCAGTGCAAACCCAACATTCGATGTTGGCGTCTTTCCGGAGACTCTTCCCTGATCAGCTTCTCTTAATTCCGTTGCGTTCTCTCTGCTGCTTATCCGTAAACCCATGAAACCCAGCTGTGTGTCATCATCCCTGGCTCCACTTCTTTTCCTCTCACACCTCGGCCCTTAGATGTCGACATCGCCCATCTCCTGTCCATCCGGCCCATAGCCTTGGCTCCAAAAACAATCTTGGGAGAAGGTGGCATAGGGCTTTTAGAGTTTTGGGCTTAGGGTTCAGAATCTTAGGTGGTACATTCTGGTGCAACAAAAGGGAGTGTCCAACATGGGCACGCGCAATGCACCAGTCAGCCCAGGGGCGCTTGACCTTGTCTGCGCTGCCATACTCGCTCTCCTTACTTGGAGCTTCATGGGTAGGTGTAAGTAGGTCAGAAATACGGTTCTAATGGGTTCTACCCGACATTAGTTTAGGAACTAAGGCTACAGCTACAATACTTATAACCCTACTTTGAACCTCTAACCTGTTGCTGAACCTATCTCAGAGTGAGTTTTTCCTCCTGACTTCTTGCGACACGGCTCCTTGAGCTGCGGGAGCAGAGGAAGGCCCTCTTCGTGCTCCGGAAGCCGGGGGTCCTCCACATTTGCCAACTCCAAAGTGCCAACAAGACGACGTCTCTCAGCTCGACACAGAAAAGTACGGGCCTTCACCTGGAAATGATCCCAGCGCCCTTCCATACCGTGCTTTTCTGCACCGAAGTCAATGTGATAGGCCGGGTTCGACTGCAACCTGACTGCAAGCTTTGGGGATCGCGCAGTCGCGAATGGCTGCACACAGCTGCTATAGCAGCGCAACGCTGTGCTTCCAGAGGGCTACAAGCTAGAGTCAAGGCAGCAAGCACGGCACTCTTCTTGCGAGACTGAGCCCCACTATGCAAGGATGGAAGCGATGCATCCACCGTTTCTCAAGGTTGCAGGGGGCCAAGGTTGAGGTGTCTTGGAGCCTTGAGGGCTTTGACTGGACTTGGAAACGTGATATGGCGCTATGTTGACTGGAACGCCGATTATGCTGCATGCTCGAGACCATGCAGCAACCTCAACGGACCAATCACGCTGCCGAGGAACTGTCTCCAGTACGAGTAGGTATGGTAGAAACCTGAGCCGGGATCTCGCAAGCAAGCAAATTGGAGACATGTCCGAGTCCAGCTGTACACCGGATGTGCTTCTTGCATCGAAGCTGCAGTAGGCCCAAAACCTCAGCACCAAGCCATAAAAACCCTCGCATGGCCCTGCAGCAATGGCCCATTGCACTATCGCACTGGAAGCCTAGCCTTGCTACTGCTGAGAGTGATCAGATTTCCCTTCACACCAGGACTCAACTCCCCGAGCTGGAGCCCAGATTCTTGTCGAGGGGCCCTTGAACCATCAGGCTGCCCACCATGTATGCGAGGCGGGCCCACGGACAGACTCCGGCCTGCCAAACAGCAAGGCATGGAAAGGGGTGCCCCAAATTGGGGCCCCAATTTTTGCTTTTAGCTGGGTTGCAGCGTTTCCTCGAGTGAACTTGCACTTACAGCCACTCACCCAGCCAACTTTCCTGCTCAGACTTGCCCGAGCAACATTTTAATCAACGTCTCCAGTTTAACTCTTTTAGGCTTAGGCGTTCCTTCTTGCATCATTCATCATGATTCCCATTGCAAGCCACACTTGGCCTTTGACAGGAGCTGGGGAACGGGGGACTCAAGTTTGCGATGCGAACAGCTTGTTCGCCCTCTCCTCTGAAAGGGAGAGGAGCTGCTGGTTGACTTCCCGAGCGCGATCTGAAGATGTTGGCCAGCTCTCACCTCACTTTGGCTATGGACTGATGTGCAAGGCTTCGGCTGCGTGCTGCAATGGCACTCTGCAATACTATACTCTGAGATGCTCCCATGGCTAAAGCAGAGCATCAAAGCCGCGTCCCATTTTGCGCACAAGTTCCACATGACTCTGAACAACATTGTATTGAACTGCACTGAACTGTACTGGACAGTACTCTATCTCGTCGTCCTCAGGGCCCTGGCATTTCCAGAGCGTGGAGTAGTCAGCGATGCTCGTCACCAGAAGGGCCACCTGCTTGACGCCGAGGTAGTAGACGAGCCAACGCAGCCATGCCCTTAGACATCCAGGCACGCAAGCGCTCTTCGCTTCCAGATCCAGTCCATCAGTGGCTTGCGTGTGTGCGCGTGCGTGTGTCACCGTGCGGCCGCAAAAGGCGCTTGGCTCTTGGACCCCCACGGCTTGTCATCGTAAATACCAAGCAGGCCGGAGAAACCTCGGGATGCTTGCCAGCTGATATAGTGCAACTATATGCAACTTTGACACTGAGGACTGAGAAATGAACGGGAAAACTTGTTCAGCTTACGCGGAGGCAGGCTTTTGGTGTTGGGCTGGTGGCATAGAACGGCTTCACAAGAGACTCCAGCAAGGAAGCGCAGCGAGGGTCGATCAAGGCAACTTAGGAATTTAAGTAGGATAAACAAAAATGAGTGTTGTGCTTGTTCTGACTCAGCAACACTACTACCGTTTCATTCCCTCCCAAGTCTTTCATCCGTCGTTCCAGTTTGCTGCCCGCCATCCCTTCCTTTCGTCCTTCCTTCTGTGACAGAACTGAAAGCCACGCATATCACTAACGTAGCCACCCCGACCCGCGCTCCTTGGTTAGCCCTACAGAGGAAGCACAAGAAGAAACTCTTGTGGGCCAGAAAGCCAAAGAATATTCCGAAGACGCCGATGAAGACGGGGACTCGGTAGAAATGCTCATTGTAGCCTCAGTCATAACAGTGTCAGTTAGTAGCACATTTCATATCATGTCATGCACTCACCAAATGGCTTCCGGTCTGCGTGCGTCCGCTTACACACCAGCCGCAACGCGGGTTTTCTGGCCAAGAAGTGCCTAGATGCCGAGCGGCCATTCGGCTGAAAGCGGATGTCTCCCGTGAATGTGGCAACTATGGAGACGACGGAGTCAACAAAGGCCCTGAAAGTGATCACGTCTCTGCATGTCGCTGACCGTGCCGGATGCCAAGTTTAAGAAACTACGTGATTTCTGGAGCAAGGAGTCTTCGGATGCTTCGGATCAAAAAGCAGCGGATCTTCACGAGTCTTCACCTCTGGGTTTAATCTGAGGCCTTCGTCGCAATACGAAGCCAAGCCACAGCATGGCAACCAACGACACGCCGAGCTTCAAGGGAAGCACGATGCAGCATGTGCCTCTGCATGTGGAGCACCAGAAACTTTATACTCGCATCAAGGGCAGCAATTGAGGTGATGGCGATGACATCATGCGCAAGGGTTCTGGCATGTTCTGTGGCCAACAGGCACGTGGCAAACAGCCTACATTCGTCTAGCTGCTGCATGCCCGCTGCTTGCACATCAGACCTCGGCCCTATGAAGGAAGGAAGCCCCACAGAACACTTGAAACCTCTCACAAACTTCTCCTGTCCCGGCAGACCCGCTAAGCTTCTGCAGCGGCTTCTGCAAACAAGCGGCCATGATCTCTTGTGAACGCCATGGATGCGATAGTCTCTCGCGTCTGGAGACCACGTTGGATTAACGATTCAATGTAAGCGGTCAGGATCTTAGTTTCCTGACTTTACGGGATGTGCAAGGATGACTGACGGATACCATATGCTGCCAGGAGTGTACATCACGCCCACGTATGCCCGGTTTGTGTTTCGGATCAGCTGCAAATGATATCATGTGTTAAAGAGCACTCGGTCTAGATAAGTTTCAGGGTATGAGGGGTTCGCTACCCAGGATAAGGCGGCACTCGGCCTCGAGCCAACACAGGTTGTTCACGAACTCCTGGGGTGGGGGAGCCGTTTGGGAGCCTCCGCTCATCTCTTAGCCACTTTCTGAAGAGATTCAATGCTGAGAATCCCTTTGGATGTGGACGTGTTTTGACACTTAGGACTGATGACCTGGAAACATCTTGAAACCAGGAAACAAGCCAGTGAAGAGAGTGAGGGCTGCATGATTTGTTGCCTTCGTCCCGGGATCAAAGTCATCCGCTTGCGCACTTGCACGGCGGCTCTGGCTTGGGGCCACCAATACCGAAACCCCTCAACTCCCAGGTCGCAGCGGGTCGTTCAATGAGCTCTCAGGATTTTTCCTTACTCCGAAAGCACGACGGGCGTCTACCAACTCTCAGGTGGCGTGCATCAGCTGAAGAGCATGTCGAAGTCATCTTTCGGCTTTGGCGCCTTGCAAACAACAAGTAGGCCCGTCGGCTTGTGAGGTGATCCGCCCTGCACCCTGGCGAGCCTGGGGCGGTGCTCCAGAAGCATAGCCTGGAAGCAGGCTACAGATCTGCTGACTGCAAAAAAAAAAGTTGCAGACCTCTGCAGACTGCAGACTCCCTCTTCTCTTGTTCATTTCAGATCGTCCCATCGTCCCACCTGCCGGAGCCGCCGAAGGCGCCGAAGGAGGGGGCGAGGGTGCCACCACAGGACCTCACATGCCAGGCAAACTTTCTCTCGGAAAGCAGCTCTCTGCTGTCTCTGCTTTCTGATTTTGTTCACTGAGTGTGCTTAGCGCAGTGCTATCGAAAGAAAGCACATCCGGAGGTGGTTTGGGCACCTGTTCAGACAGGTCAGATCTTCCCAGGATGCAGAGGTGCCATACCAAGTCCCTTTGATCACGCCGCTCGGTTGAACTATCGGAGCCTGCGCCTTGCCCGTGCCATTCACAGCTGCGTCGTCCGTCTGGCAAAGGTTCAATCAGCTGCCCACTTGGGGGCTACGTTGTGCGTCAGGTCAATGTCACATGCAGCTCAGGTTAGCATGAAAAGCATGAGCAGCCCTGCAACCCTGTTGCTAGCGTCCAACCGCGGAGCAACTTTGAGGCAACGCTCCGGCACTCTCGGCTCTCCCTGCACCTTGGACTCCCAGCTTACGCGCGTCACCTGCACCAGCTGCGGATCCCCTCCAATCCATTCATGCCCAGTCCGTGGGCGCGATCCTTTGCCACGACCCGGCCGTCAAACATCGGCACCTGTGCGGCCTGCGTCGCGGCAGCAATGCATCCGTAGCAGCTGAGGGCTAAGGGGGCTTTCATCACAGAAGCGAGCCATGCCTCGTTCGTGACATCCATCCACGCCACGTGCACAGGATCTGGGCCCCATCTCATCTTAAACCGGAAGTGATACCTGGCAAGCGAGCAAGCAGAACAATGACAATGGCATACCATCAGCATTCTCAGTCACGCAAAATGTCTGGAGCCTAAGCATCCCAACAGAACCAACAATGATATCGAATGCCCTATGAACCTGATGAGTCTCGAAACTTCTTATTCTCAAGTGTCAAGCATTACAGTGTTCGAAAAGCTTGTATGATTGCGTGACACAGGCGATTCTTCGACTTACCACACCTGGGGCAGATGGCCCACAAGCAGATGCTCCGTGCTTTCGTGAACCTCAGTGAACCTCATGACCGTCGTGGCCGCCCCACTGTCTGACTGTACAAACTGCAGGAAGCGCAGAGGTCAACATCGCCACATTACACAGCAGGAGCATCACCCACTGCCTCACAGCAAATTCAGGAAGACACCAAGCCGGGCCTTTGTTTCCCGCTAAACCTACAAAGCAACGCCGTGCCGCCGTGCCACAAAAGTGTCCCTGCAAAGGCCGAACCGTTGCGTTGATCTGTAGTTGGCCAATAGTGTCAAGCTGTGCCTCTGCTTCTTCCCTGCATTTTTCTGCAAAAACAATGCTCTCTAGGAAGCTTTGGCATAGGACACGTGTCAACTTTGAAGCAATGTACATAGTTCTAGCAGAACTGGCCGGCGATGCGTCCCAGGCAGTGGGAACTTGCTGCGGACGTCCTGCAGGTCACTGGCAGATGCAAATCAGATGCTCAGCTACAAAGCGGCCCAGCCTGCAGAAGGATGTGACCATCAGGCTTCAGGACAGGAAACGCATTGGGCATCTCCACCTTTGACAGAAATCAGCTTCAAATGCACGCGGCGTTGTTGCTTTTTTCTGCATTTCTCTCTTTCTCTCTCGTTCTTTCTGTCTTTCGGCTTTTCTCTTTTCTATTCCTTTATTTTCTTTATGTTCTCTCTTTTCTCTCTTTTCTTGCTTTTCTTTTCTGTTCTTTTCTTTTTCTTGTTTTTTCTTTTGTTTCTTTCTTTCTTTCGTGGGGCGAGGGGCGGACCCCCTTCTTTCGTGGGGCGACAGGCGGACCCCCGGTCGTCCTCGCCCTTGGCTCTCGCTATTGCTTTCTTTCTTTGGGGCCAGGGGGCAACCCCCGCGCCAAGGCGAGCCCCGATCCTGCATCTCTCGGAACTCTACCACCCGCGAAGCGGCCGCTTGTCGTCCGCGCCACCGCTGCCCACCTACGAGGCCTGTCTCGGTCCCTTCTCGGCCTGCCCCCACGCTCTTGCTTTCTTTCTTTGGGGCTTGGAGGGAGAACCCTCCGCGCAGACTGCGCGCCCCGATCCCGCACAAATCTACCACTCACCTGATGGCCCCTTTAGCCACCGCAGCGCCACCTGAACAGGGCCTATTTGCGACCTCTGCTCGGCCTGTCACAGCACCATGCCCCTTCATGTCCTGCTTATCGGCCCGCTCTTGCTCTTCTTCTTCTTCTTCTGCAGGGCTTGGGGGAAAACCTCCGCGCACCAGGCGCGCCCGGAGGTGAGTCAGGTCTCGGTGAAAATTATGGCGATGGGCTCATGTGGTTGGGTCCCCATGGTGCTGTCTTAGTTTCCCCGGCCCTGTTGGCCCAGAGGGCCCCCACTTCGCCGACCATCGGTGAAAATCGGCGCCTCCATCCCGTGTTTCCTTGCTAACCACCCCAATCCAACACTACCGCTCTTGTTCTCTCTCTCTCTCTCTCTCTCTTTCATTCTTTCGTAGGGCATGGGGTGAAGCCCCGCGCCAATACGCCCGCCCTGATCCTCAGGATTGGCCAGAAGGATTCGGCGAGACACGTCTCTTTTTTGTTTCTCTCTCTCTCTCTCTCTCTCGCTCTCTCTCTCTCTCTCTCTCTCTCTCTCTCCAGTTGGATTCGGCGAGACACGTCTCTCCCTTTGTTTCTTTCTTGGGGCATGGGGGCTTCGTGCCCGCCCCATGATTCGGGACGCCTCTGTTGTTGGCTACGCAGGTGAGACACGTCTCTCTCTGTCTCTCTCTCGCTCTTGGTCTTTGTCTCTAAACGCAAACGGTGACATGGGATGGGCCTCGTCGCCATCTCCAGGAATGTGGTAGAACACGAGGATGGGCTTTGCCTCTGCCATACGTTGCTTTGCATCACCCTCTGGGGTAATGGTCCAGACTGCAGCTGTCACTGCCAATAAGAGTCCTCGCACGTTCTGGGCCCGGAACGCTCATGTGAGCAACGCAGACCTGCAAGGGGCTTGCATGCAACAGGCATCTCCTACATGGTGTGTCGAAACCGACAGCGCAATCCCATATGTTCCCATTGTACGGAAGCGTTGCACTGCTTCACGCCAACAGCAGCATCTGCTTTTGGCAAACTAGCAATTGCAGTAGCATTGCAGTTCAAGCGTCTGGATACCATTTTCTGGCACAAACTGACTCTAGCATGTTCGCGCGTGTGGATCACGAGATGCATCACTGGCGCCAGGCCTAAGCCAAGAGAAATGTTTGCGACATGGCGCAAGCACTTCGGGCGTCTGCGACACCGAAAGTTGAGGAAGTGGGCACGGACTGAGATTTTGCATGCCAACGCACGTCTTTCATGTACGCTGCTGCTAGGCTGCAGTAAATGCGCGTCAGTGCTTGATGCTCTGTATGGTGGTGGGTAAGTGGAGGAAGTACTCAATGGACTTTGAGCAGATCGAACTTGGCAAGCTTCAATCAGCTGCAAATGAATGTGTCAGGCTTGTGAGGTGTGCTTTCTACTGATACGGTGACCAGGCAGACCCTCCTTCACATTTTTTGGCTCAGCGCGATTCTACAAGGAATTGTATCTCCGCTTCACTTCCATCAGGACCTGCAGCGCAATACGAAAGAGGAAATGTAGCGGCCGTGGTCAAAGGAAGAAGAACACAAAAGCTAAACAAATAACAAAATAAACGAATAAAAAGAATAAAAGCAAATATATATATATATATATGGTACCCCCCCCCCCCCCCCAGTGACCTACCCTTTTTCGCCTTGTCTCAAGTCACAGCTGCACTGCAAGCAAACTCGGTGTGCAATATAGCGTATTTCCTAGGGCGTAGCCTAAAATACAACTAAGATCGCATACACGGGACAGTAGAAAAACCAAAAATACCAAAACCAAAAAAACCAAAAAACCAAAACCAAAAAAAACAAAAAAAAAAAAAACAAAACCAAAAAAACCAAAAAAAACAAAACCAAAAAAACCAAAAATACCAATTTTCCGGGACTCTCAGGAAAATCCTATGAGGCTTCTCCAAGAGCGCCAGAAAATTGGTGTTTTTGGTATTTTTGGTTTTTTTGGTTTTGGTTTTTTTGGTTTTTTTGGTTTTGGTATTTTTGGTTTTTTGGTTTTGGTATTTTGGCTTTTTGGTTCGCCTTCACGGTCACGAGGCAACAACTACGCATTTTTAAGTGTGCTTATGCTAATTGTGCTTTTCAAAAATAGTATACAAGTGGTCTTTCTAGTGCTTCAGAACTTTTTGTTTCGTTATCATGTAAGTAGAGCCGCTAGTGTTTAGTGCATCTTTTGGTTGCACTCAAGTGTAGTAGACCTTATTCAGCCATTACTTGGTGCTCTGGTAGCTAAATTCGCATGGATAATATTTGCCTGGTAAATGCGATTAATTATCTAGAAGCAGCATTTGCAATACTTGTCTTGAGAAAAAGCATTTATTGCTTAGAATTGTTTGCTTAAAAAGTGACTCCTACTCGTCCAGGGATACCCCAAAACCCTAAAATCCAAACTTCACCAGAGATTCTCCTGAAAAGCTTGCGCTTTTGGATGTTTTTACGTATTTGTGAATTTGCTTGTGGTATGGCCTTCACTTTAGAAGTACTTTTCTAGGATTCTTGTGCATTTTTTAAGCCTGATTGTGCAAGTTGCGTTTTTCAAGCATAGTATATATGTGGTCTTTATTGAATACTTCAGACATCTTTGTTTCATCGTTATGTAAGTAGAACCGATTTCCATTATTGTGCATTTTTAAGCTTGCTTATGCAAATTGTGCTTTTCAGACATAGTATACAAGTGGTCTTTAGTGAATACTTCAGCAATCTTTGTCTCATTGTTATGTAGGTAGAACCGTTTCCATTTCCGCAAGTGTTTATTTCGTATTTGGTTGAGTATGGTCCTTTAAATAGTATTCACTTGAGTCAAATTGGGCTATTTGCTTAAGAATTCCTCTAGTAGTTAAATTCGCATAGAATGAATACTTCAAAAAAGATTGTTTCATGAATATGTAAACATAAGGTGTTTCATTTGACTTTGCAGATAGTATTTCAATAATACTTTGCCTGGCATAAACACAACTGTTTCAATGCATTAGTTGCTCAACAAAGCACTATTTGCCCTTTAAACCACACTTTGCCATATGTTGGTTGTATATGGTGCTTATTTCGTATTTTGGTTGAGTATGGTCCTTTAAATGGTATTCACTTGAGTCAAATTGGGCTATTTGCTTAAGAATTACTCTAGGAGCTAAATTCGCATAAAATGATTATTTCAAAAATACAAACGATTCATGAATATGTAAACATAAGGTATTTCAGTGGACTTTTCAGAGAGCATACTTTGCCTAGTACAAGCACAATTGTATAAATACAGTATTTGCACTTTAAACCCACACTTTGCCATATTTTGGTTGAGAATGGTGTCTATTTCGTATCTTGGTTGAGTATGCTCCCTCAAATGGTATTCACTCGAGTCAAATTGGGCTCTTTGCTTAATAATTACTCTAGTAGCTAAATTCGCATAGAACCAAGAAAAATGTTTCACTATTTGATTAATACTTTGCCTCGTACAAACACAATTGTATAAATAAATTAGTTGCTCAACAAAACATTAATTGCCCTTTAGAACGCACAATTTGCATAGAAAAACACTGATCTAAACATCTAAAAACAGCATTGTCCGCTTCAGATTCAAAATGTAGATTCTTCCAAATGCTGGCTTATCGGGGTCTGTGAGGTGGGTGTCCCAGTAACTGTCCTTCATTACCCGGTGATTAACTACGCGACTTTTGGGCCTTGTTTGTTATTTTTTGTTAAAAAGGCCTAAAAAGGCCTAAAAAGGGTAGGTCGCTGGGGGGGGGGTAGCATATATATATACATACATACATACATACATATATATGCTACCCCGCCCCCCTTATCCACGTTTTTTTGTGGTTATCCACGCTGGTTGTGGTTGCGAGCCAATTAAATCGTTCACGGGCCGTGGTGACCCCTGAACTCCCCCCCCCAATAACCCAATCCTCTACAAAACGTAGATGTATGCAACTTGAGATGTCGAGTCCTCTCCATCTGTCCAAACACTGAGCACAGCGACCTCCTCCCCTCCCTTCCGCTCCGCTGCGCTCCCTGGTTTTTGTAAATGCTTTTTCTTTCAGGGCTTATCTCTAAAACCCTATCGGTTAAGGTTTAAGTCTTATAAAAAGAGACGCCCCGAAACCCTATAGGGTTTAAGGCTTAGAGCCGATACGGTTTAGGGTTAAACCTGAAACCTGAACCTTTAGATCCATAGGGTTTCAAGGTTAAGAATTAAACCTAAACCCTTAACCTTTAAATCCTATAGGGTTAATAGGTTTGAAGATTTAAGACCTAGGTATTTAAACCTAAGCCCATAGAGTTTAAACCTTAAGGGTTTACGATTTAGGCATCTAAACCTGAACCCTTTAGGGTCAAGACCCTGAAAGCCTATAGGGCTCCAAAAGCCTCAAAAGTTTTAACCCCATAGGCGATGAAGGTACACCTTAGGCTTTTAAGCCTTTGAACCCCATAAAGTCTAAAGGCTTAGGG